GATGGAAGGATGGTGTAGATGAGGATGGTAGAAAGATAGGCGCAACGGTTGGCAATGAATAGGACTGCCTGGCGTAATAGACTTGGGAAGGTCGAGGCTCTTTCATAGGGCTGTAGCATCATTGATAATGATGATAAATTTAATCTTCTTCTTCTTCAAGTGCCGTCTTCGTTCCGAAGTTTGGCTATCATCAAAGCTATGCGTATTTTTGATGCTGCAGATCTAAACAGTTGGTAATTGGTGCAATTGTACCATTCTCTCAAGTTTTTCAACCATGAATGCCTTGTTTTTCCTATAGATCTCTTTCCCATTATCTTTCTTTGTATAATCAATTGCAGCAACTGGTATTTATCTCCCCTCATAACATGTCCCAAATATTGTAGTTTGCGCTTTTTAACAGTAAGTATCAGCTCTTTCTCTTTCCGCACTCCCCGCAAAACCTCCACATTTGTTACTTTCTCTGTCCAGGGTATTCTTAATATTCTACGATACATCCACAACTCAAATGCTTAAATGCTTCTAAATACCATATTCCATATGAATTTAATAAGGCCAGGTACATTTTTTAAAGAAATTTTTTAAAGTGAAAAAACTTTTAAGAATAATAAAAACAAAAACTTGTCAATAAATTAAGTACATATATCGCACATTTACACACATCGAGGACACACAAATATCGTCCTTTGGTAATTCTATACATGCCTCGTGGATATACTTATTACAACAAACATACTTGCGCATATCAGCCACTCTATCCTCATCACACAAGAAACAGTACCATGAATCTTTTTTTAAATTTGGTTTTGTTTTTGCTGAGCTATTACATTGTGCAATAGAGAAATCTCTGGTAACCCCTTGTGCTTTCGCAATAATGGCCTGTCGACGTTTTTTTTATTGATACTTTTAATTCCGGTGTAATCAGCAAACCACTGGAACCAAAACTTGCATTTAGTTCTTCACATGGTCCTTTCTTACTTATTTTTGCAAACTCATTTTTATCATATTTATTTGACGTGTAAACTGCATCACTATAATCTTCACTGGAAGCTGTACCACTTGTGTAAAACCCAGAGGAGTCACTGTCTTCATCTGAGATGTAAGTTTAAAAAAGTTTGTTTAGACTTTTTTTTTGGTAATTTTCCTTTTCTCACTACCTGAAAATGTTTTGCTTTTATTATTTTTGTTTACACCGCTGCATCATAGCTGTTCTTTGAAATTTGTATTTTTTTGTCAGTTGTTTCAATTTTTAATTTCTGGTTCGGTTGTGAGATTTTCTTGAAAATCTTTGGCGATTGTTTCAATCTCTCGTTGTGTCAGACAACTAGGTGCAAAGGCAGCATCCGGAATAGCATTTGGATTGATTGACCATATTCCAGTTGCTTCAAATCCAGAACAAATATTTCTCTGCGTCATTGCGTTTTTCCAAACCGGCGTAAATATTTGCCCAAATCTGGCTCGTTTGATGGTACGTTCGTTATTATGGTTTACCCAAAAATTTATTACCGACTTCTCCCAGTAACATTTAAAACTCCCGAAGACTTCTTTATCGAGTGATTGAAGTTCATTGGTGGTGTTGGTAGACAAAACAGAGTTACATCTTTTTTTATTGCAGCTTCTACAATTCTAATGTCTAAATGAGATCAAGTTTCATTAAAAATGAAAAGGGCTGGTCAAGAATTTTTAAATCGGTAGAAGTGATCTAGCCACTAAACATTGTAAAATTTTCTACAAGCTTCGAAAAACTACAGACTATGACGACGCAACTATTTCAAGATGAACTTGGAAAAAGCAAAAATAATGACGAATACACCGAGCATTAGAAAAATAACGTTGAACGACATAAATTTAGAAACAGTAAGCGAATACATATACCTGGGACAGATAATAAAAGTAACCCAAGAAAATCCAACTACCGACATTACCAGAAGATTAAGGATACTGTGGGGAGGATTTGGAAAACTGAGTTGGATCTTGAAAAGCACTAAAATGGAACAGTGTTTGAAAACCAGAATTTATGATCAGTGTATCCTCCCTATACTCACGAATGGTTTACAGACATGGACTCAACATGGACTCACCAAGTCTTATATGGATAAAATACTAAAAACACAAAAAGCGATGGAAAGATCAATGCTCGGGGTAAGAATTATGAACAAAAAAACAAACAAATCGATTAGAAGCAAAACCAAAGTAAAAGACGCAGGAGAATATGCTGTCAAATTAAAATGGACCTTCGCAGGCTACAATGCTCGACTGAAGGATAAGAGATAAAACCACGAAATACAACAATATAGACCATGGTTAGGAAAGAAAAGCAGAGGCAGACCACAAATGAGATGGGCGGATTGGAGGACACAACTGGAAGCAAGTGGTACCAAATAAAAGACACTGGATTAATTTGTGGGAGACCTATGTCCAAAGTTGGATTACTTAAGGCTGAAAAAGAAGAAGAAGCAGGGCTCCTGCCATCCGCTTCTACGTATTTCGACTATTATAGGTCTTGTCAGAGATACTTATTCAGAAGCTTTGGTTTGAAAATAAATCTCTCCAGTAATAAAAGAATAATATAAAAAATAATAACGCCATCGAGAATATAAATTCTACTATGATTGATAGATTGCCAAAAGATCAAAAAACTAAACAAAAAAAAAGTTCCGAATCATTAACATAATTATATTTTTCTACGAAACAATAAAAGGATTTATATTTTAACAAATATTACAATAATACTCAAAGTGTGTAACAAAGCGAAATAATTTATATAATTTTACATCATGCATAATTACAATTTATATAAATAAATATTGCAAATAACCAATTAATAAGAGCAATAGATTTATTATTAATTATCTAGGTGTGAACAATAATAACAAACAATATATTTAATCAATAATTTTGATGTTTGTTTGTAAATGAATGTAATTCTTTTTTAATAAATATTTTGAGTGCTTTGTTTTCCATAAATACGTCCTCTGCTCAATATGGGTTTACTTAGTTAACCTATCCAATTTCCTGCATTATCCTAATAATAATCTTTGTTTATAAAACCATTATATCTGATTATATACTAAGAGGTCGCTTAATTTGTGCATTATGCATCAATGGACTACCTAAGTCTGACGTTACAATGGGCGGAAAATGCTGCTAATGCTGTATTTCAAAAACAGCTCAGTCTAAGACAAGCCAGACAAGTATCTAACGCAAACTTATGCAGACATCTCAAGAAACACAGAGAATCTGGACAAGAACATTTTGTATATAGTGCATCACAAGACGTTAAGTTAGTCCTTACGAAAAAGCAAGAGGAAGAGCTACTAAAGTATGTTACCATTTGTGACAAGATACATTACGGCCTCTCAACTATCGAATTAAGAATACAATTACGCATATGTAAATAATATTGATTGTCCCTCTTCCTGGGATACAAACCAAAAAGCAGGAAAGGAGTAATACAGGTAAAACAAGTTTTGTATTTTTTAGGTCATAAGGGTAAATAATTTTTCCTGCAGGTTCTATCTGCGAAGACATCCGTTTGTATCATTACGTAAACCACAAACAACAAGTCTAGCCAAATCGACAGCATTTAATAAAACAAATGTTAATTTATTTTTTGATAAATTGGAGGAACTTATGGTAAGATACACACTTAGTCTGGATATAATTTATAATTTAGACGAAACCGGTCTAACCATGGTGCATACCCCGGTTCGTGTTATTGCAACGAAAGGAGTTAAACAAGTTGGCAGCATCACATCGGCTGAAAGAGGTGTAAATGTGACTCTAATTTGTTGTATCAATGCTATTGGTAATTGTGTACCTCCTTTATTCGTATTTCCGCGTGTATTTTTAAGGAACACATGCTGAAAGGGTCTCCAATAGGTAGTGTTGGGAGCACGAATCCTAGTTAATGGTCTAACTATAGTTACTGGTCTAACTCTACGATTTTTGTTGACTATTTAAACCACTATATAAAACATTTAAATTCAAGTACTGACAACAAATCACTACTGATTGTCGATAATCACGAGAGCTACATTTTAGTGGAAGCTTTAAATTTAGGAAAATCATCGAGAGTCGTCATGCTTAACCTTCCACCCTACACCAGCTACAAGCTACGACCGTTAGATAGGTCGGTTTTCGGTCCTCTAAAGCTTGTTCCGACTAGCTAATTGTAAATCCTGCAAAAACGGTGACAATCTATAATATTGCTGAGTGTGTTGAAAATGCATATCCACAGGAATTTATACAGAAAAATATCCAGTCTGGTTTTACCGTTTCAGGAAATTTTTCGATTCAACAGAAACATTTTCGAGGAGCCCGAATTTCTCAGTTCATATGTTACGGATAGACCAGCAGTTACCAAAGAGTCAATAAATAATTAAAATACCTCCTAAACTAATAGTTTCTCGAATATTTCTGTAAAGGGTCTATGAATGCTTTCAGGAACAACTAGTATGTTTAATAATCCTAGATCTTCCTTAGTATCCAATAAATTAAATCAACATAAAAGCCCCGAACAAATTTGTCTGTTTCCCAGGGCAGCTGCCAGTAAATTTACGAAAAATGAGGTAAGAAACTAGGGCGCTGTAGAATAGTTACAGATACCCCAGAGAAAAACAAAATTAAAATGATGGCGCTCCTTAAAACCACGACCACGAAAAAAAAAACAAAAATCAACCAGAAAGGTTATTGAGAGTAGGTCTGATGAAGATGTAATAAAAGAAAGTGAAATAACGTGCGAGGACTCACTAGATGACGTGGATTTTGCCAATGCAAGAGGAAGATAAAAATTTTCTTGGGTCTGGCAACAAGCCCTGCGTGAGAGATTGTATTTTAGCACAAATTGCAACAAAAAAGACAAAACGATATTTTATTGCTAATGTCGTTGGAGTGAATGATGATGGGTTTAAAGTCTTAAGTAAGATGAGTTTTTAGGTAAAGTTTAAAGTTCTAAAAAGAAGTAACATTGCCGCCAAATTTTTGTTCGAAAATGACATTGTCTATGAATTGTCTGTCGAAGATATGGTGGTGAAACTAGAAGCTCTTTCAGTAGTGGCGGGCACTGCCAGAACAAATGCTGAGATGACATTTTCTATCGATTTATCTGCATTTAACGTCCAATAAATAAGCGTTTCAAAGTACACATATTTTTGTTTCAAACTACCAACCTCGGTGTGTACTTTGAGACCTTTAGGATATGGTGAATTTTTCTATATTCATAAGCATATTTGTCATTAGAAGTAATATGTTATTTTTTTATTTGTTTACTTAGAGATACTCTATTAAAAAAAAATCTCAGTTCGAAATAAAATTTAAAAACTACTGAAACCTGCTTTTATTTAAAAAACCGTCCCAAAGTACAAGGATCTCTCCTATTTTGTTGTTGTTTTTATCAGTGTTGTTTTAATGTAAATCAATAAATCATCGAAATTAGTTATGAAGTTAAAAAATAGTTAAATTAATATTTTATTCTTTTCCGTGACTTTTCCAGGGGTCCTGGCAGACGACAAATATCCTGGATGAAAAATATTCGCAACTGGACCGGGTTAAACAGACAGGAAAAGCGGAAGATAGAGACCAATAAGAAGACACTACAATATATAAGGTCAGAAAGATTAGGAAACGCATTGAAATCGCTAAAAAACCTGATAACAAAGAGAATAGAAATGAGAACAATTGATTTAATAGAAGAAAAATCTAGTATCGAATATTACTTTAACTCCAACTACAAAATACTATTTTTATACTCGAACTCCGTCTATAAAAACCAGTACATAAAGAGGCAGATTATAAGAAAACAAACAGAATTCTTAAAAATTTAATGATATTATTTATAATAAAATATTCAAGTCTATAAAAAATGCTCAATATAGCTCAGGATTTTCGGTACTAAAACTTTTGTGTTTGTGATTTTTTATGATTAAAAATGAGTGCTGTGTAGCACTAAATTAAAATACCGTCCTTTTTATTAACGTTTTATATAGTCTCTCCTGGAGATTTTATGTAGAAAGCTAAAATGACAATGGAAAAGTATGTTTTTACCATTTTTAATTAAATCAGAAAAAATCGTAAAATTATATTTACTAAAAATATTAAAATATTATTATATACCTCAAATAAATTGGTTTAAAATCGACACGGAAAAGTCTATGAAAAAAAAATATATAATGAAAATCACCCCTACTAATCAAATGAAAAGGAAAAATGTTACAATTTTAGAATTATACGCTTTCGTTTCAGTGCTTATAGCACATTTTAGGAGTCACGTAAGAAAAAGTTTCCTTGGTGGAAATGTGGATAGAAAATGTTACAGAAAATGGATATGAAAAATTACCTCACCAAATGGTAGTTGGGTAATTAAATATATCGATTACTAATAAGGGAAAATAAAAGAACAGAAACAAGAGCTAGATTCTCGATCGAACCTCCGTACAACAAACATATCAGCAATTAGTGATAATTGATATTTAATATTAGCTTGTTAGTTTGAACAAAATAAGGAATTTTTTTATTCAAATGTAGAATTTGGTTTATATCTAAAATTTAAACAAAAGTGCAGTGTAAAATTATTACGTCTTCTGGACTAAAAACTGTAAGTATGATTTTCCTATTTGATCTATAACAAATTCAAGGTAAACAACTATTTTGCCGATTTGGCATGCGGTTAATTAGCAGTCCTTCCGGTAATGATCCATTATATGCACCAGGGCCATATTCAGGTTATTTAGCGCAAGCTTGGAAGTGGATTCACCAGCGGGAACTTTCAAGGTTATTTCTAAAATTATAAATGATCGTATGTGTATTGTCTTTACTAGTGAACAGACAGTCGATGAGTTTCTAGCAAACGACAATGGAATTGTAGTAATTAATCAAGAACGTATTCTGCCAGAAGACTAATAACTCCAAATGAACGATTGATTATTTCTAACGTATGTCCAAGTATTCCGCACAGCGTTATAGAAAAATAACTGAAAAATTTAAGCATGTATCTAATAACTCCAATTGACTTTTTCAGGATAGGGACTTCAAATCCAGCATTCAAGCATATCTCGTGTTTTCGACGATACACTTCTATAGTGCCAACTTCTTCTTCTTCTTCTTCGTCTAGCCATTCACGTCCACATCTGAACATAAGCCTCTTCAAGTCTTCCTTTCCATTGTTTTTTATTGTACGCTACTTTTAGCCAATTTTTCCCGGCAGTTCTTTTCAGATCATCTGTCCATCTCATAGGAGGTCTGCCTCTGGGTTTTTTGTGTTGGTATGGTCTCCAGGTTAAAATTGATCTGTGCCATTTGTTTAGATCGCTCCTAGCTACATATCCAGCGTATTCCCATTTCAGCTTTAATGCTTTTTGCACTACATCGGTGACTTTGGTTTTCTGTCTTATCCATGTGTTTGTTTTCTTGTCCTTAAGTGATATACCTAGCAGTGCTCTTCCCATCGCGTGTTGAGTGACTCTAAGTATATTCATATTCTTTTTTGTGATTGTCCATGTTTGTGCCGCATAAGTTAATATCGGAATAATGCATGCATCAAAAACTTTAGATCTAGATAGTGCCAACTAACTTAGACAAATTACCTGATTCTATGTTAATTAACCATGAGGATAATAACTATCGAATTTTCTTTTCCATCGAGAAGCAATCGTGCTACTTATGCAAGCAGCAAGTACATTTTGTATCTCAGTGTTCCAATAAAAATAATCAGACTTCTTCAAACAACACCCAAAATAATGTGCTTCTAAACTCTCTACAGGGAGTACACCAATTAACTCCCATTTCGACAATTTCTTCTACACAATCCTCTCCTACTGAGACTGAAACTACAGTACAACAATCAGCTGCTTTGGCGATAAATTCTTCTACACAATCCTTTCTAACTGAGGCTGAAACGTCTAGAAAAATCATTACCTCCCAATCAAATAAGCATACTCCGATAAGCTGCGACCCACCCAATAGGACTCAAATGGATACCTTTGATCAAGATACATCCTCATTACAGACCTCTAAACGAAACATATCTGAAATAGTATCACCCCTAATAAGAGATAACGAAACAGTATATTGGTTGAACCAAAGCTATGAAACAAAAAACCAAAAACTCAACAAGAAAACAACAGAAATCTAGTAGTAAATCTTACCAAATGCACCAGATAATTCTTTAAAGAAAACTCTAACAATGGATACTTAACACAGAAAGAACTTATTGACTTCTTTGAAAATGCGCATGGTTCTTCAGATCCTCTCAGTGTCGCCAGAACTTACTTGGAGGATATCAAAAGATTAATAAACTTTCTAAAAAAATACACCCTACGTTAAGTCCAAGATATCTTAAATTCCGTTATTCTAGAATATAAAAAAAAATACAGAACAAATTTTAAGTAATATTTCTGTGGATAATCACAATAATTCCTCTCCGGAGACTCGTTAATTATACTATTTTAAATTCTATTACTCAATGGAACTTAAATGGTTACCATACCCATTTAAAAGTTCTTAAAATTCTTATAAATAAATTTCATCCATCCATCCTATCTTTGCAAGAAACACATTTCAAAGGAAATTTGTGTCACAATCTTAAAAACTTCATGTCCAGACTACGATTAGGACAGACCAAGATCACACATGATTTCCTACTGCAGAAGTAACCCAAACCTGTTGTGATACGCTTGTGACAGTGATCTAACAGTACATCACTTATTAGTGGAGTGTCCGTTATACGCATTTGAAAGAAAATATGAACAGTTGCCTATAAAAATAAAAGACAGTCTTAGTGAACATAGTACGCAACTGTACCATACTTTTTTTTTTGTTTCCTCAGGACTAATTAACAAAATCTAATTGTATTCTTAATTTTTTTAGATTTATGTTATCTGTAAAATCGACAATTGCTAATAACCCTTGTGGTTGAAGCAGTTTAAAATAAAAAAATATATATGAAAAAAGAGCTAGACTGTAAGCAATTAGCAATAATATACATATATCGCTGTTGCGCGTGAAAAGGTAGATATGTCATAAAACTTAAAAACGAATGAAACACTATTTAAAATTTTACAAAAAAATAAATTCTTTTACAGTTCTTTATACTAACTAACCTTGAGTTTTAACCTTGTTTAGGCTTACGCCTCTTCAAGGAACGGGGAACTCCTTTTTTTTTTGACGGAGTTGTGGTTGTTACGAGATAAGACGTCAACTGATCGAAACGCGGCCTAAAAAGCAGAGAACTGCTAAGGAAGAAGGGGGAAAAGAAGGTGGCTTATTTTGTGATCGATAAGAATCGTGAACGCACAAGAAGAATTGGGGTTGCCTAGCATGCAGTGAGGTACTTCAGGGTTACCAGCCATACAGTAGGAACGGCTCTTTATCAGCGTTTTTGGTGCGCAGCTTATCTGCGATAGTATATGGGGAAAGATTCTAAAATATCAAAATACTCATCAGGAAGTTCAGGTCCAGCGTTATGCAGAAGTTTAACTGGGGGGAATGGAACTTTTTTGGCGGGATGCCTGGTGAGTATTTGCCCTCTATGTGTGCAAGGTGTCATTAACGTTTGTTTTGCTCAATTGTTCGAGCCAGCTATGGTTCTTAGGACATACTTCCTACTGAGGGTTAGGATTCTGTCCTTAATAGGCGTGATGTTAGCTAATGCGTGTATGTGGGCCGATGGATACAGCCAGTCTTTTCTCATGCAGAAACGTAGTATTCTACGTTCTGTGGCGGTGATGGCATTAAGTTCGTGGTTCCTCAGGGAGAGGTAAACGCATGCCTTGTAGTCGATAATCGGTCTGATAAAAGTCTTGCAGGTGTGCAACAAAGTGTTAGTGGACGTTCCTCCTAGTTTACCGGCCAGCACTTTCAGGCGGTTGAGCCTTTTTCTCATCCTGTCAAGGGATTCTTGGACGTCAGCCTTCCAGTTGAGAGTTCTCGTAAAACGAACTCCCAAGTAGAGAACTGAGTTCCTGAGAATAAGGTCCTCTCCCAAAAGTGTCACCCGGCCCTGAAGGCCGCGTCCGTATGGGGGTCTGAATAAAATTGCTTGGGTTTTGGAGGGGTTTAGAGTAACCCTCCATTTGTTGCACCACCTCACGACTCTGTCAAGATAATCTTGCGATTTCTCGAATACAGACCGTCGCTCTCCTTCCCTGTAGGAGCCTGAGGTAAGAATGGCTGTATCATCGGCAAATAGGAGGAGAGACTCTGATCCTTGCTGTGGGCGGAGGATGTCGCTATTGTATACTGTGTATAATATTGGAGCAAGTATTGAGCCTTGGGGCACTCCTGCTTGAGGAGTGAATGGAGTGGAGAGATGCTCTCCTATTTTGATCCGAACCGTCCGATGGGAGAGATAGGAATTTATTAGTTTAACGAAAGGTGTTGGCAGTCCAGCAAGGTGGAGTTTCTCGATCAAGCCTGCGTGCCAGACCTGATCGAAAGCCTTCTGGACATCGAGGAAGATGCCTACGACGTGCTTCCTTTCGTTAATGGATTGTGAGATGAAGGTTGTTGCTTCAACCAATGCATTTTGCGTGGAGTGTCCAGCCCTGAATCCGAATTGGTAGTTTGGAATGAGGAAGTGAGCGTCTAGGAATTCTACGAGTCTCTCCTTAAGGATCCTCTCGTAGACTTTACCTAGGGTGCTCAGTAAAGAAATTGGTCTGTACGATTCAGGGTTGGTTAGGGTTTTCCCTTTTTTAGGGACCATGACGGTGCTGGCCACTTTCCACGGGATAGGAAAGTAGCTCAGCGCAAGACATGCATTGATTATATTAGTAAGCAACGGGGTGATATTCTGTGGAAGATTTTTGAGGCATCTTCTGTGGATGCCATCTGGGCCAGGAGATGTGTTTTTTCCTATTTTACACATCTGACTGACGGTTTCCTCAGTCACTGGCGTCATCATCGGATGAGGATGTGGTCCGTCAAGTGGCTGAGGGTAGTAGAATATATCTTCCACTCTCCGTTCGGTGGCTCTTTTGGATCTTTCACTGAAATTTGGATTATTGGGTGAAACGAGGGTGGCCTGAAGTGTGTTTTTGAATGCTTCGGCCTTGTCTTGTGGATTATTTAGGATGACGTTATTGATTTTGAGATGAGATCGTGGCTGACTTTTTTGTCTTGTTAGGACTTTGAGTTTATTCCAGAATGCTGAGCCATCCCGGTAGTCAAGGTCCGAGGTGACTCACATCCACTGTCTTTGTTTCAGCTTGTTCACCTCGAGTCTTATGACCGCCGAGAGCCTATTGTATTCTGTTTTGATGAGGGGGTCTCTGAATCTTTTATACTCTCTGAGAAGTCTACGTTTGGTTTTGATTTGCGCGATGATTTGCGGCGGAAGTGTTGGAGTATATGGATTATATCTTGTTTTAGGAATGGCCAGGGATGAGGCTTCTTGAAGAAGTTTCTCAACTTTGGAGATCCCTGTGTTAACTTGGTTATGTGTTGACATGTTGCCTAACTCAGGAAGGTTTTGGTTGATATGTTCTTGGAAAAGATCCCAATTTGCTCTACGATAATTTATCCTATAGATGGCAGGTCTTGGTTGGGGTAAGGAGTTAAAGTCAGTATTGACTAGAAGAGGAAGATGGTCAGAGGTTATGGAATCACCAATGAAACATTCATCGTCCATCCTATCAAGCAGGTTAACCGTGCATAATATATGATCGACTATGGACATTCCTTGGTGATTGAAGAACGTGACCTCTCGGTTGGTGATTCTGGAGATTGGCAGCTCTAGAAGAAGGTCTGAGAGCTGTCTGCCTGGAATATTTGAAGTTGTATCACCAAATTGAGTGTGCCTGCTGTTTAGGTCGCCCATTAAAACCGCCTTGTCTAGTGTGGAAAAATACTCGACAAGGGGTAGGGAGAGGGGTGAGTTTGGATGTTTGTAATAGGATATTATCGTGATCTTAGTGTTGTCCTGTAGGTGAATGTCAACTGCCAGGAAGTCGGTGTCATGGAGCTGGCCTAATATGTGGGGAGAAGGAGTGTGAGGTGTAGAGGGTATAGAGTGGTGAATCAATAGGCCGTTGCCATGACTGGCCTGGCTTTTGTTCTTTATACTCCCATAATATTTCAATCAACGATTATACCATGAATTTACCAAAAAAACAATAAAGTTATTTTATCACCTCTTTACCTCACCCCATACATCAACTTTCCATCAATCGTATAATTAAATTTTCAGAGATAAACTTTACATTTGAACGTATAATTCAAAATCCTAAAAATAAACGAAAATCCACAATGAAAATTCAATATTGCTCGAACATTAGTTACAGTGGAAATATAAAAAATGCTAAATTGAAATTCATGCCTGCTAATGAGACATGACGGAAATATATGGATTTGTCAATTTACGAATATTTCCAATAATACCAAACTATTAAACAAATGCATTCATTTAACAATAGGCATAATGTATGAGTACATTAAATCGGTCAAACTCATTCGGTAGAAATATTACTATTATGGAATTTCTAAATTCGGGATTAATCGAAGTAGGTTCTGGTGACCTCGCCTAGGCTTTTACCTATTCAGATTATTGGCTGTTTCCTTTCTATTTTTTACAGATTTCTGGAATTAAGTATACAGGCAGATGTTACATAAAGTGGTGGTGAGAATGGTGTTTGAACAAAGAATGCAACATAAAAATGTCGAGGTTATGTCCGTTACTTGTCGCATTACTCAGAAATAAATTTCTCTACATGCTACTAAATATACAAGCTATTGGTAACGGTTATGGATCTAGCATTTTTGTCTTTGCAGCTTATCTGCGGTATTTTAGTTGGGTTTCTTCTGCAATGTCAAAATACTCATTAAAAAGTTGCCTACTAAATTCAGAAGCTTAACTGATGGGAATTGAATTTGTCTTTGAAAAGTACTGTAATTAATTGCTTCCCACGATTAAAAGGCCTCCTTAAAACCTTTTTTACTTTGGGGGACCATCAACTTGGACATACAAATTGGTGAATATATGCTGAAAGATACAAGCTTACAATGCTAACAACAGTTTTTTCATAATTATATTTAAGATTTTTCTTTCAGTTGTCATATCAGAGTTATCCAGCCTTCTATTTTGCCTTTTAGAATCAGTTGAAATATCCTATATCCATTTTCCTCACAATATGTCCCAGAAAAGACATTTTACGATGTTTAACAGTCTTTAGCAATTCTCTATCTTTGTCGATCCTCCTTAGTACTACTACTTCCTCATTAGTTTTTCTTGCTGTCCCAAGTATCTTCAACATCCGTCTACAAATTCACATTTCCAATGCTTCAATTCTCTTCACGCTTAACACTTTTAGTGTTTATACTTTTGCTTTATAAAAAAGTACTGACCAAATAGAGCCCTTAACTATTCTTTGTCTTAGTTCTAAACTGATACGATTATTACAAAGAAATGTCTTTATATTTATAAAAGTAGTTTTAATAATTTCTATTTTTCGTTTCATTTCTATTTCTGGATCTAGTTCGTCCGTTATGATAGTTTCCAAATATCTAATTTTGTAATTTTGTTATTTTATAATTTTGCCATAATTATGTTAATTTTGTATACTGTACTCAAGAATTAATATAAAAATTGTACGTATCTAGACGAGTGCCAGTTATTTCTCCCTAGTATACCTCTTAGGAGATTTCTTTCCTCGCCATGTTTAGGAGGATTTTGATATTACTGCTACAGTTGGTCATCTTGGTAAAGTTGACCCAAATTAAACACTGTTCATCTGAAGTTAGGGCTTTCTTCGTAAAGCACTATTTGGTTATTATTCTCGAGATGATTTTGGAATAAATTATACTATCTAAATAACATTAACTCTGTTAAATTTAGCGTGACACTGTACTTGTTGCACCACCTCAACTCAAATGTGTAACTGAGCTTGAACGAATATAAAATGCCCCCCGCAGTATAGCAAGGAGATCCTATGGATAACAGAGCATAAAGAAGTATTTTGCTAGATCCACCATTACGAAAGATCGCTGTTGTAGGCAGTGTTTAATAGTCGTGCCAATATTAGTAGAAAGTAAGCCACTTTACTCCACTTTGACCTCTGGCCTCTGACGTCACAAGTCCTCGTGATCAGGTCTCTAAGAGTGACCGTAAACGTTTTCATTTTTAAGTAAACGGTGCTTTAATTAATTACTTTTAACACAGTGTTTACCTATCAAGTAAAAAAGAATACCTAAAGAAGTTTATATTCTCTATTTTTCACGTAGTAATTTTAGAAAAAACACTATAGCGTTATTGATGTTTTTATCGTCAAATAATATATAAAATAGATAAAATATTTAATATTTTTAATAAATCTTTTGACACAGCGAGTTCTTTTATTATAAGAGACAAACCTGATGTACAGGAGATCCATCCGCAAGAATCCACTCAACTTCCGGCGGGGGACTACCTTGTGCGGTACAGTCTACTTTTCCTCCCGAACTATTGCTGAATTCTACTCGATGAGGAGGCTCGTGTATGAATAAAGGTCCTTGTAGGTCTACTCCTCCACTCCACACTGAAAAATAAAATAAAAACCTGTAAAATATAAGATAATAATGGAATATAAAAATTATGAACAATTTTTACTTATTGGTCTATACCTTTTGAAATATACCTTCTAGAAACGAATTATATTTTAATATACTTAAGATTGAATGTACTTTGATGGTACACAAGGCAAATATCGAACACAGTATTTAATCAAGTGCCCAAGTACTTTCGATCACAACATCATCTTCAGGGCATCTGAAATAAACCAAGAAACGTTTTTTAAAAAAGGAAAATTAATTCACTTGGATAAAAACTCCAAGGAACTCCAAGAATAAAAACTCCTTGGAAAATATTAGATATAATTTTATATTTCTTCAGTTGATTTCCTATAGTGGTGTCAGTTGGACCTTTGGTCAATACTTAGTTTCATAGAATCTTAAAAGGCGCAGATTACTTATCTATTGTAACTGCCCTTCACAAGCTGTCATTTGTCACATGTCATCTCAATATTTTTGCCTCCGCCAGGCTAGGAGCCATTCTGTCTCAGGCTTCTTTATAAAATGTAGCTTCTCCAATTTTAAATTTTAAAGTGTTTGTTTGTCTTTGTTTAGTGTATTTGTTATGTCCCAATTTACATTTATGACATTCTGTTACTGCTGGATAGGCCACAACTGACGAAGTAAGTCTATAAACGTTAATCACACAAAAAAAACTTTTTTCAACTATAAACTTGGAGATTTTATCCAAGTGAATTAATTTTCCTTTTTTAAAAAACGTTTCTTGGCTTATTTCAGATGCCCCTGAAGATGATCTTGTGATCGAAAGTACTTGGGCAAGATTTGATTAAATATTGTGTTCGATATTTGCCTTGTGTACCATCAAAGTTGAATTATATTTTGTTTATTATGTGTGAATTTTCATTACTTAACATTTCTATTTATTTTTTGAGTTGGGACTACTTTAAAAAATGATAGTTTATACCTCCAATATTACTATTAACTTTTGGTGGACTCTTCAGTTTCTTCTGGAGAGGGCCTTAATTCGGCAATTTTGACAATTATTGACAAAGCTATCATGGTGAAAATACGCTTCATCTCCTAGAATGATTTTTTTCGAAAAATCAGCATCCACTGATTTATATTCAATAATACATTCAACGAACTTCTTCTTCTTGATGTGGCGTATCCGTTAAGAATGTTGGCGATCACCATGGCAATCTTTATCTTATCTACAGCAGCGCAAAAAAGCTGCGCAAATGTTGTATTGAACCAGATTCTAAGGTTCATTAACCAAGATGTTCTTCCTGGACCTCGTTTTCCAAATATTTTTTTTGCAGTTTCGTGTAAACCTTCGATAAATATTCTTTTATAGTAGAGATTAAAGATTAGAGCAGAGAAAATACAGCATTGTCTCACTCCACACAAGATTTTCACATATCGTTTACCTTCAACTCTGAGATTTGCTGCCCGATTCTGGTAAAGATTTCTAATTATTTTCAGATCTTGGTTGTTAATTTCTGCTTCTTTTAGTATTTGCATCATCTTGGCATGCTGATTGTGTCGTTCGTCGGTTTCGTGGTTCCGATAAGGCTAGCGCTCGTGTGCTTCGTTTTGAGCGTCAACTTATCTTCAGCCTGATTCGAGGACACTGCCATGCGGGGAGTTTGACTGGGGCGGTATATCTATCAAAGAATGAGGCAGGTGTCCTAAGGCCAGCTTAGCAAGAACAGAAACCTCACGTAGAGCAAAAGGGTAAAAGCTGGCTTAATCCTGATGTTCAGTATGCATAGGAATTGCGAAAGCACTGCCTATCGATCTTTTTGGCTTAAAAAGTTTTCCGCACGAATTGACAGTAAAGTTACCACAGGGACAACTGACTTGTGGCGGCCAAGCGTTCATAGCGACATCGCTTTTTGATCCTTTGACGTCGGCTCTTACTATCATTGCGAAGCAGAATTCTCCAAGCCTTGGATTGTTCACCCATAGACAGGGGGCGTGAGTTGGGATTAGACCATCGTGAGACAGGTTAGTTTTACCCTACTGATGACTTGTCGTTGCGATAGTAATCCTGCTTAGTACGAGAGGAACCGCAGGTAGGGACATTTGGTTGACGCACTTACTTGAGCGGGTAATAAATGTGAATAATGTGAAGCTACCATCCGTGGGGTTATGCTTGAACGCCTCTAAAGCCGTATTCTTTCTAGTCAAAGATGGCAACGATATCTCTCGGAGTTCCGAAAGTCGAAAGGTTCAAAATAATGTGAATTTACTAGGCAATCGTAGTTTACTACGATTATTATTATTATTGTGATAATAATGATAATAATCTTTTGCCATTATTTGGTTTTATTTCCTATGTAAATTTAACTTTGTAAGCATGGAGATATAGATCTGTAGTAACTATACGCTGTATAGAGCTTCTTGGAATATACAATTCTTGTCCATACCGCCTAATTAATGTTTTGAAACTTTTAATAAAACTTTCACGCTCTGCTTCGATATAGACATTTAAGCGGCTTGTTTTAGAAAGACCAATGTGACCCTGATCATCAAGTGATCCAGTCTCCCTAATATTTCAACTACTTTACTTTACTTTATAGTTGACAAATTTAAATTAATATTTCTATCATATTTTGTACGAAATTGTTGAACTATGATCGCCAAACTTTCATTAATTTAAAAAAAAATGTTCGACAATAAAAACGTGTTGACATTTTGGTTAACGCTTCACTTTTTACTAAGCCTAAACTCAGTCAGCTGTCAAGTTTTTTTATTGCCACCACTTCACTGCACAAATATTGGTAATATTGAATCCTAGTCCCCAAGATCTCCAGGAAAAACTCCACTGGACTATTTTTTGAGGGTACAATAAGAATAACGTATACAGCGATGAACCCACAACTCGCGATAATATGATAATTAGTATACAAAATGCCTTTGCCAGTGTTTGATCGGAAAGGCTACAAAACGTGCGACAGTCCTAAAAATTTTGGAGTTATAACAGAATCCTGCGGTAGACCATTTTCTAATTCTACTTTTGAAGACAAGTTATCGTTTACTCGAACTTTAAATAAATGTTTGAAATTTATAACATTTGTTAAATTAATTACCTTATAATTTGATACTTCATTATGGTTGTTCAATTTTTGCTAAGATTTGATCGTTCACTAAAAGTTTAATAAAAGTGCGACAACATTATCGCATATGTCGTTTTCATTGGCTATTTATGTAGTTTGAAAATCACTTATTGCATTTAAAAAATATATATACAGGGTGTAATATTTAATACGAATCCCTAAATTTTTCCAAAGCCGGTTCTGGAATTTTTTAGTTTAGCTAATACCAGTCGAATTCTTGATAGTAGTGTACTGTATCATGCAAAAATTAAAAAAATCAAATGAGCCGTATAAACACTACAGTAAAATGAAATAAATGGTCAATTACACAAATCACCCTGTTAATTAATAAAGAAGAGAAGTTGACATTTTTTAGTGGCCACATGATATGCTCCCTGAGGGACTCTACATATGGTAGAAGTATGTAAAGTTCCTCATGACTCACCCTGTATATACTACATATTGGGGGTGAATTTTGGGACACCCGCTATATGTCTGCCGTTTAAAACCTCAGCAACTAGTTTTAAAAACAACTTGTTTTATTTTTAGTAATATCACAGTTACCTTGAGTGCAATATTTAATTTAAGTGAAATTACCTCTAACAATTTCTGCAATTAGTCAAGAAAATTATTATAGAGGAGATAGACAACGTAGCGCAGATTACTCCTTATTTTAGGTGTTCTGCAAATTGAGCCCAACTGTAATAAACCCAGTTTACGTGTCTTAATATACTTCAGCGCGAGTTTTTGCCCTCCTAACTACCACGTTTTCCGCCAAAACACCCCAGAGCCAAATTTACGTTGAAAACAGAGATGAACTTACACAGAGGGTGTCTTAATAATCCTTTGTTGTTTATTTGTTGCTCTGATAAGTGTAAATAGCCTTAAAACAGAAATTGTGGTGGATGCGAATGGTGGATTTTGACTTTCTTGTACCCGCATTGCATCAGGTAGTAGATTATTCAGTTGTTATTATTCAGTTGTTGTGTGGATTTACAAAGAATAATATAATTAATGAGAACATGCAAAATCGTTTGAAGCAGACGCATTTTGCTATGTTTATTGTGTAGCTTTTGTTACACAATAAACATAGGAATAACAGAACGAATGAATGGAAGAGTTGGATAAAATATTTTATGGTTATAAAACTTAGAAATCTGTTGCTACTAAAATTTAACACTATAAAAGAGAAATCATTTTCCTTCACTTTTCCAAACTGTAAAACTGCTCCTAAAACACAAAAGCTAGTAATATATTGTCATCTAATAAGCGCGAAATTGCTACTAGTTTTTTTTTGGGCAAGGGTTTAGGGGAAGGGAAGATTCTTAATCATAAGTTGACATTATATTAAAATTACTTTTCTGTGGTTCTTTGCCGTTCATTTTTTGTTCCTTATACATTAGTCTGGGTCAAATAAACTTAAAAATGTAAACTTACAGTAGTCCTTTCTGATAATTAAATTAAATACTTTTCAATAATAATATAAACGTAAATAAACTATAAGCACAGCGAACTTGCGAAGAGCGTACGTCAGCCTTAGGAATATAGAGACACAAGTCAAAAAAGTAGCTAAAAACTATCTTGGAAAGACTGTGTTGGATTGTGTACTGACGGCGCGGCTGCTATGACAGGCTCCAAACAAGGCCTTCAAAGTTTTGTACTGAAAGAAGCGGGAACCGAAGTACAAATAACACACTGCATTATTCACAGAGAAATGCTAGCAACTAAACAGTTGAGTCCTGAACTCAATGAAGTCCTCCTTACAGTTGTAAAGGCTGTGAATTTAATCCGGATCAAAGCTCTTAATTCAAGATTGTTTGCTACGCTTTGTGATGATATGGGCTCGCTTCATTCCAAACTTCTCCTCCACACTGAAGTACGATGGTTATCCCGAGGGCGTGTATTGGCCAGATTTTATGAACTTAGAGAGGAGGTTTGTATGTTCCTTGACAAGTGTTTCGGGATGGACAATGGGTGGGTAAACTTGCTTTTTTGACTGATATATTTGAAATTATAAATGTGCTGAATCTTGGTCTTCAAGGGCCCTCACACACAGTTTTTGATCTATGGAAAAAAATTGCTGCATTCAAACAAAAGTTAAAGTTATGGCAAACTGAAGTAGAGAAAGGATCTTTTGCTATGTTTAATCTGATTTCTGAATTTATAATAGAAACGGACGGTATGAATATAAATAAAGAACAGCTGTCATCTTTGGTAAAGGCTTACATAGCATCGCTTCAAGGGTATTTTGACAACTATTTCCCTGCCAGTTCTGACGTCAGTTCTAAAAACTTGTGGGTGGCAAATCCTTTTTTACCACTCAAGGATACTGATCTTACACTTAATGAACAGGAAGAACTTATTGAGATATCTTCTGATCTTCAGCTTGAATTTGTCAAAATATAATGTGACAATATTGCAAGCTTTTGGATCAAGTTACTTGATGAGACCAAATCCTCAGCCAAAAAACCTTGAAAATTCTACTTCTTTTCAATTCTACATATCTTTGTGAAACAGCATTTTCAACACTAAATGTTATTAAGAATAAGCATCGTAACAGTTTGTTGAAATTGGATGCTCCATTCAGGTTGAGTTTGACTTCTTTGAAGCCAAATATCGAAGATCTTGCCAGTAAAATGTAAAACCAAAGAAGTCACTGAGAGACTTAGTGTCATATTTTGTAAGCGTTTTACAATAGATTTATAATGTTTCTATAACTATATAAGGACTATAAATATGTTTTTTTTTTCTAATTTCTTACTCTTATTACAATGTATATTAAAGGATTTAAAATATATTTCTCTAGCTCTCAATTTAATTTACCTAGTTAAAAAATCATGTGGTCCGCAGACGTTTCCTTATAGATCTTGTGGTCCTCGAGGGAAAAAGGTTGGGAACCACTGGTCTAGACCAATTGAATTTAATATTTTCATCAGTTCGTCATGTTTTATTCTATCGAAC